CTAGTGCGTGAAAAAGACCTCATTAGAAGAGTTGAGTTTGATTAGTCGTACATGAGTTGGGAACATCCCCTTAAAATTCCAGCCTTCCAGGTTTTCTCGTTTCCGAGTTAGCAGTTTTCCAGCCAAAACTTTCATGTGCTCGCACGTGAGGAAGGCGGCTCTAAGGAGATGAATTTGAAGCCTTTTAGCCATAAACGAGTAACGAACATTCCCCTAAATTAGCTTTTTAGCTTCCTCGTTCCCGAGTTAGCAATTTTTTCACCGAAATCTTCACTTATCCATAAGAGAGTCCCACCTGACTCAAAAGTGCCGAATTTGAAACCTTTCAGTCGCATATGAGTGGAGAACATTCCCTTAAAATTCCTGCTTTCCAGCTTTTCTCACTTCTGTCAAGACCTCAAATGACCATAGGTGAGTCCCTGCGGTTCTAAAGGATTGAATTTGAAACCTTTTTGTCGCACTTGAGTATCAAACATTCCCCTAAAGTTTCAGTCTTCTAGTTCCTTCCGTTCCAGAATTACCAACTTCCTCGCCGAAATTTGCACGTGTCCGTCATACGTGAGTCTCAGCCGGTTCTAAGGAGCCAAATTTGGTCGTACGTGAATAAGGGATATTGTCGTAAAGTTTCAGCTTTCCAGTTTTTCTCATTCCCGAGTTATTGATTTTCCGTCAAAATTTCCACGTGCCCGCACATGAGTCCCGGGCAGCCCTATGCAGCTGAATCTAAAAACTTTTAGTCGTACGTAAGTTGGGAACATTCCTAAAGTTTCAGCCCCCTAGCTTTTCTCGTCTCCGAGTTAGCAGTTTTTCCGTCACAATTTTCACTTGTCCATATGTGGGTCCCTGCAAACCTAAGCAACTGAATTTGAAGTCTTTTAGTTACACATGGGTGAGGAAATAGTCCCCTAAAGTTGCAGCGTTCTAGCTTTCTCGCTTTTGAGTTAGCAAAAACTTTCACGTGACAGTACGTGAGAACTAGACATGCGTGACAGTTAATATCATGCTTCTGGGGTCGCACTTGGCCAGGGAACAAACTGGCAAAATTTCAGCATAAAAACTTGCGTTGTTGACGAGTAGAAATACTCGGAGAGACGAAAACACAAACACAAACAGACACACACACAGACAGGCTCGTCGCAATGTGCGTTTTCGCTACCTGTTGCAGCGCTCGGCAAAAGTGCATAAAAACTAGCTGAGTAACCAGAAACGGCTTTGCATAAACAGATACTATAATTTAAATAGAAAAGTATAGGAATCAACCTTATTGGGTAATCCACATTTTACAACATAGTCGAAACGCCCTGGCCGCAATAAGGCATGATCAATCAGATCAACTCGATTGGTAGCTGCAAGCACATATACACCTGCA